AACTTATAGGGACGCTGCCTGTAACTATGTGGTCTGGAAGTAAGAGGAGGCTGGTAAAGGATAATTAAAAATAATAATAATACAGTGCAGTGAAAAAAGGGGCCTTAAAGGTATTTTCATTTAATACACTTAGTGCTAAAACTGAAAAAAAGAAAGAAAGAAGTTCTTTTATAAAGCTACGCATGAACCAATAGACTTCCAAAATAGCTCAAGTGTTGTTTGAACAACAGGTACATTTTCCCTAAAAGAATCTTCTTTGACTGCAAGGAGCAAATTGGAACCCACAAATACTTTCAGAACTGAAGGTTTTTATCCACATAGAAGAAAATGGTTACTCCCTCTGGGGTTGAGAGGGGAGGGATAACTTAGTAGCGGCATCATTTATATTTAGAGTGTGCATTTACCCCACAGGCGCACCAGAGGATGGAGGTCATCCAAGGATGTGCTCGATATAGAAGTCACTCTATTGCCAAGGTCCGGTGCTCAACTCTCAGTCTCTGGGAATGAGAAGAGATGAGTCATTTCGTGTCGCTGTCAATTTGACACGTTGTGAAATGGGCTATTCCAGATCTTGCTTGTTGTTTGATTACAGTTTACATACACAATAATAACATTTGTAGCCAACATTTATTAACCTCATATGAGCACTGCCTTAGACTCTTCACTCGATTGCTTGCTTCATGCCTGCAATAACCATGTGGTGCTGGGACTATTATTTTCTTCATTTCATACATGAGATGAAGCACAGAGGTACCCAGATCTCACTGATGGTGGTCTGGTCATCAGCTGTTGCTGAATGAGTTATTTCAAAGCTTAAGGGCTTCAAACAACAATAATTATTGTTACCTCTCATGGCTCTAGGCATTGGGCTCAGTGAGGCAGTTCTCACTGAGTGACTCTCACTCGGGGTCTCCCATACAGTTTCAGTCAGATAATGGCAACGGCTAACGTCCTCTGGGATGTTTCCTCACTCACACAGCTGTTGACTGGGGCCTCAGGTAGCACTGTCACCCAGAACCCCACATTTGACCTCTCCACTTGGCCCGGACTCCTAACAGACACCCAGGCCTAGATGGGCCAGAATAACACACTGCCTCTGTCCAGGTCATGGAGGAGACTCATTGACAGGCTATGGTTAGGACTCTAGATTATATTCTAAGAGCAACTGGAAGCCATCAGCAAGCTTTAAGCAAGAAAGGGTGTGCTTATGACGAGGAGGAAAGAGCCCGAGCACCAAGGTGATGGTTCTTCGGGATCTCCACTGTGTCTGTTGTCATCAAGTGGAATCACCCTAAGTGCATGGAGGCACTCTAAGTGTGTAAGGCGCCAGAGGTTCACTGGCTTCCCCAGAAATCCTTGCTCGGCCAGTAGACTCCTGGGTCTGCAGCCAAGTGCTATAAAAAACCCTGCAGGAGGTGGATTTCTCACATCCTCTCCGCTTTCCAATTAATCATTTAGATCAGAAACTGAACCTACTCAGGTTATATATATATATATATATGAACTCCAGGTCAGGATCACAATTCTGCCCCAAACATATGACTTTTTCCCCTCCTGGTTGGAGCATCGGGGTGTATTTAAAAAACAAATTATTTTCATTCAGTCACTGTTTCCTAGCAACCACCAAAAAGTATGTTTTTCTGATGCCTGGGAGCACCAGCCAGAGCAGAAGCTCAAGCGTGCCTCCAGAAGCAGGGAAGAACAAAAGCCCTGGAACCAGTCTCCGGCTGGCGAGAGATTCTGAAAGGGAAATTTGTTAAATGCCAATCACCTAACAGAACGCAGTCTGAGAGATCTGTATCATTGATGTCGGGGTGCAGAGGGGGCGGCCTGAAGGGAGGGTGTAGATATTCCCCAGGGCGTGATATTCCTATAGAATGTGGGGGCTCTGTCTTCTGGGAGGTTGGTTTTAATGAAACAGCTAACTTCTGAGACGCCTGACATCTTTCCAGTAGCTCTTCTGTGTGTGTTTCCAGCCAGAGTCTTGTTTTTGCTAAAGCTCTATAGACAGAAAAGAAGGGTGAATTCAAATTTACACTGAATAGAGTCTCTATAAATGGCCCTCTTTCAACCATGTGTAGCTACTCAATGCATGTCAGTTACTGAACTCGAACAGCTGGAAGAGACCTCTCCAAGCATTCAATGCTTCTTTTACAAAGGAGAAAACACAAAAACACAGAGAGGAGAGTTCACTTACCCACGGGGACACAGCTAGTTGGTAGTCCCAGGGTCCCTGGACCTCTAGCTTAGTGCTGTGGGGGTGGGAGATGCTCATATTTTAAAGGTTTAAAACTTTGCATATTATGCCACACTGAATGCTGTGGGAGAGGGAAGGTGGGAGGGTCTAAGCAGAAGTTGTCGCACCAATCAAGAGATGCAAATCTTGTAATTTGTAAGTCAGAAATTCAAAGGGCTGACTCAGAATGGCAAAACAAAGGGGGTTAAAACAACTACTAAGTCTTTTGCTTTTTAAAAAGGCATAGAAACTAAGCGAGCACCCCCTTCCTACACCCCACCACACGCACACCACCACCAGTCAAGGAGTTGAGGTAGGACAAATGTTCTACTAACAAATGTTTTTTTTTTCAACTTATTGAATTAGAAGAATGATAAATATATGCTATCCTTCGTGGAGTTGTACAATGTTAGGGCAAAAGGTGTTCTTGGTGATATTAATCAGGCTCATCGTTTTTTTAGACAACACCTGAGACTGAGGTGCGTGAGAGCCAAGAGGCTGACCACGGCCACACCAGCCACTGGTGCAGCAGACACTACATCCCAGTGTCTGGCCATCCCGGGGCCGTGCTTTTCTCTCTCTAGGCCATGAGGCCACCTCTCTGGCTTGCAGTACCCACTCCAAGTTTATTTCCCTATAGAGAGCATGTTACTGTTTTAATAGTTAATCCATTAAAAAGGAGCAAGGGAATGCTCCTACTTTCTTTCCCCCTTTCACATCCCATCCAAGGCAGATAGATGCAGCAGCAGCAATAATGGTCTAAAATAATTAAATTGGTCTGGGGAAGAATCCATTTAAATCAGTGGCATTCTGCTTCCTTTCTGCTTATTGTTGGAGAGTTGAATCAAATGAAGCTACTTTTTAAAAAAGGTTTCTAAAGTTGTTTCCAATCATTTCTAAAGTAGTGACCTAAAACATATGCATAATTTCCAAAATACCAAAATGTAATTTAATGAATATCCATAAACCTATAATCTCAAAGTCAACTAATATTAACTTTTTTCTTATATTTGTGTATTAGTCAGGGTTCTCCAGAGAAACAGAACCAAGAGGATGTGTACATATACATAGAGATGTAGTTTAAGAAATTGGCTCACCTTGTTACTGTAGGTAGTTAACTAATTATTAATAAGAAAGAGGAGCAAAGGAAGATGGCATTGAGCTTAAAAAACTGGGGAGCATGAGCCTGTTTGCTTCACCAGGAAGGTACAGCCTCGCACTCGCACTGGGGGATCCCAGCATTGCTCCACCAAGGGGATTACCACTCCTCCTTTCCCTGCTCCAGTGTCCAATTGTTGGGGGTAGGGAGGGCAGGGCAGAAGGAAGAGCTTGACCAAAGAGGCCTGTCAGTCCAACTAGGGTGAGCCTATCAAAAGCCCATGATCTATCTCTCTCTCTCTCTCTCTCTCTCTCTCCTGTGACATGCACAAGCCCCATGCAGTCAAGCATTCTCTCTCACCCAGGAGGTACAAGTGATCATGCAGGCCTAGCAGCTCCTGGGGCCCACAGCAGACTGCGTAGGCTCCGAAGGATTAAGCTTTAATATGAAATAGAAACTCTAGACACTGCCTTTTGTTTTGGCCTTGCTGAAGATGCAGTTGCACTTTTTCCATGACGGAACAGAAGGATATGGAAAATGGGAAACCTGGGGGCAGATTTCCACCCAGATGAATTTTGCCACATTACAGTCTTTCATGCGTGGGTCCTTGCAAGGCTCTTCTCCTGATCCTGTGGAAGAGCCTGACTTCCACTGACAACAACATGATTGTGGTGGGGTGGGCAGTTCAAACCCTGATGGGTGGGCTGGCAGGCTGGAGACTCAGGGAAGAGATGCGATTCAAGTCCAAAGGCAGTCTGCTGGCAGAATCCTTCTTGCTGGGGAGAGGTCAGCCTTTGTGTGTTTTTAAGGCCTTCAACTGATCGAGTGCAGCCCACCCACATAATGGAGAGTAATCTGCTTTACTCGAGTCCACAGATTTAAATGTTACTATCCATAAAACACCTTCATAGAAACATCCAAAACAATATTTGACCAAATATCTGAGCACAGTGGCCCAGCCAAGTTGACATATTAAATCAATCATCACAATCTGCTTTCAGTCTTTTTAAAGAAATAAAACATTGCAGATACAGTTGATATGCCATTTATATTGCTCCCTGAGCACCCCATTCAATAGTAATAATTTTGTTTTGTAAACTTCTTTTCGTGACTTCAGAACCCTTTTGACCCCGTCACCTGAAATCCTATTTCTGGTTCGATGTTGGGGTAGAAAGTGAAGACACAGCCTCACATTTACCGAAACCACATGTTCTTTCAGGGAGCTCCTGGCTGTCAGAGGTTGAACATGGTTTCTACAGAAAACTATTATGAGCCATTGCAGGATGGTGAGTGCACTGGGAGTCACTAGATTGTATGTGCATAGAGTTTGAACATACTCTAATCACAAACCATCCATTTTTGGTTTGCCATTTTTGGCAAACCAAAACAACTGGCACAAACCATGCCAGTTTTACTTACTAGTTTATTACAAGGATAAGTAAATAATGAGTATTGGCAAAATTTGGAAGAAATAAGAAGCATCAGATATACTCAACGCACAGTGCACTGGCTACCAGACAGCTTCTGACCGGGAGCCTGCTGGGTAAGAGGCCTGAACTGTGCACATTCTCAGATCCCTTCCAGAGCCTGGGACTCCATGACTGGTATTTGGAGTGATAGCATCCCTAACTCAAATTCTCTCTCATTTGCTGCTGTAGCTTTTAGGCTCACAGAAGCCGCTGTCTTCCCAACGGGTATCAGGTGCAGTGTACGCTGCAGACACCTGCTCAGCTGCATGCCCCTTTAATCATGGAAAGAAAGCTCCTAAAGAAGGAAATGAAAAAGCTCTTGTAAGTATGATGGAGAATAACTTTCATTTATTATACTCAGCATTTGGTGGGTTTTATGTCATAGATGGTCTGATATTGGCAAGAGGGTAAAAATGTAAGGGAGATTTTATTCCCGCACTATTGGGGGGAAAAGCCCGATGATCTGGCCTCTGACTCGGCCTGAGAGGCCTCACATGTGGGGCAAAGCCAGATGCTGACTCTCTTGGGAGGATGTTTCTGCCAGCAGCAAGCTCATCCGAGGCATCCCTGTTCCAGAGCCTAAGATCTGGGACCACAGCCCAGTCAGCCTGTGCTGGGCAGCGTGCGCCTTTGGAAGAGCTCTGCTGGAAGAGGATGTCGGGGAGATTTCTGAGAACGGTAGCCAGTGGCCCAGCATTTAAATCGCAGCCTCTGCCTCTTTTATTGTCAGTCTGATTGACTCAATAATTCATCTGCTTCTTCTTGCCATATGAACTTTTATTTTTAAACAAGCAAAGAAAACATTAAGTTTTCCCAAGGACACATTTTTTTTCTCCTATGCTACCTTTTATTTGACTTGGTACTTAACTGAGAGGTTGGTGAAAATAACAGACCATATAAAAAGGAGGAGAAAAAGGCTATGTCTTATTTCATATGTATTTATAGGAACAACAATAATACCCTTTTCATCAAAACCTTATCACAACCCCATCGAAGGTCCTCTCCCAACCTACTAAGATAATTGTCTTTTAACCAGTCCTTAAAAAACACTGGAATAAATTATGCACAAATTCACACATGTTTGCATGTTTGTGTTTCCAATGTAATAAAGAACAAACCATAATCAGGAATGCCACTTCCTCCACATGGAGCTGAAATTTCAAAAGTGATATAAATGTAATTTTATAGCCCAAAATGCCTTCATGATGCTTTAAGTAAAGTATGTTGGAATTACAAAGAAAACATTTCAGAAATGTTGTCAGTCTAAGCTTAATGAATCAGAAGAGTTTTAGAAGGCAGGAACAAGGTGACTTGCCCAAAGTTTATGGTAAAAACCCTGGCAACCAGAAGCGTGGCCTTATGGAGAGATTTGTGGAGATGGACCTCAGAGACCCCAGGGCCCTGTATCCTGCACCCAGTTCCTCTCCCTCAGTTTCCCAGAACAGCACCCCCTTCTGTTCCAGGGCCCTTATTCTCTCCTCACCTTATTAAAAATCACTGTTCTGGAAGGACCTGATAAGGATACACTAAACTGAAATTACTCATGTATTTTTATGCATAACTCCTCCTAAGGATATTTGTATTCTAACAGGAAAAGCTTTAGGACAAAGAATGCATCTGTAAGGGAATATCATATACCCAAAATTGATCAACCATGAACATTCTGCCTGAGTTTTAACACGGACAGCAACAGATTCTTGATTTTAAACAGTGGGTCTCAATCCTTTCATTTTCTGTTTCAAATTGTTTCTGCACATGGGGATTTAGCATACTCCCTTGTTTTCCTATAAATTTTGTGCCCACATGTGAGTTTAATTTTTAGATAAATGTGATTTAAGTTAATCATGATTAGACATTTTAAGACCATAGCATTGCAGGATTGCCTTTTATTTATTTTATTTATTTTTTTTAAGATTTTATTTATTTACTTTTAGAGAGGGAAGGGAGGGAGATAGAGAGAGAGAGAAACATCAGTGTGCGGTTGCTGGGGGTTATGGCCTGCAACCCAGGTATGTGCCCGGACTGGGAATTGAACCTGGGACACTTTGGTTCACAGCCCGCGCTCAATCCACTGAGCTACACCAGCCAGGGCACCTTTTATTTATTTTTTAAATAATTTGTTTGTTTGTTTGTTTTTAGGGAGAAGGGAAGGGAGGGAGAAAGAGAGGGAGAGAAACATGGATGTGCAGAGACACATGGATGGGTTTCCTCTCTCACACCCCCAACCTGGGACCCAGCCTGCAACCCAGGCATGTGCCCTGACTGGGAATAGAACCAGAGACCCTTCGGTTGCAGGATGATGCCCAACCCACTGAGCCACACCAGTCAGGGCTAGAATTGCCTTTTAAATCAAAATACTGTTATTCTGGTAATAAAGAAGCCAAATTGTTATTTATTTTTCTTTAAAGAAAAAGAAGGAGAGAAAGAATGCGAACTCATCTCCCAGAGCCCTCAGTGACCGCTCCTGTGTTTGGCAGAGGAGGGTGGGATGGGCAGGAGCCCTCAGCTGTAGACGGACCCCGTGTCATTCCCAATGGTTCAATCCTGCTCTCTTGCTTTTAAGGGGAGATTATATTGGCATCAGACTTCGGGAAAATGAATTTGACCCCAAAGGAAGAAGGCAACTCACCTTTCTAGATGATATGGTAAAGCAAGGCATGCGGGTGCGAGTCACGTTGTGTTACGTGTGTGTGGAGGGGGCGCAGCCAGGATCTGATGTGTATGATAAGGAGGCCGGCCCTGATCCTCCAGGATGTCCTTTCTCATCTTCTCATCGAGCATTCTCCATTTGGTCTTTTCAACTCATTACACCCAAAGCAAAAGGAATGAGAAAATACAAGTATGAGACATTTGCTACTAGAAAGATTAAAAAGCAAAATGGGTACAAGGGCAAACATGACGTATGATGTTAAAATTTTTTCAGACAAAATTAATTTTAATGTAGTTCTCAGATACAATGCTGGGTTCATTTGCTGCTTTTTTCTTTTTTCTTTTTTCTTTTTTACCATCTGTATTACTGGAAAAACCAAAGAGCTGAGTAATCCTAAAATTCTTTCTGTTATTATTCATGTTTCAACTCAGGTTCATGTTACGTGATGAAAGTTCACTTCACATAAATTCAGGAAGAAACTGTTGTAAAGTTCAAATTCAAAAGAAATGAGTAAACCCTCAGCTTTTTTTATCCTGCCCATCTGCAGTTGTCGCACTCGTGAGGAAGAAAGGCTCTCGCGCTCCTTCTCCCCATCTCCCTGTCTGACTTACCCGGAGCTGAATAAGCAGTTAGAAGTGCTTCTCTGTGCATGTGTTAGATGGAGAAATTAAATCGATTAGATAATTGCTTCTCAAACTTTAATGAGGTCTTATTACAAGCCCGTTGTGATTCAGGAGGTCGGCAGGTGGGGCTGGGAATTTTCATTTTTAATGAGTGAAGCCAGCACTTCCAGTCCATGCACCAGTCTTTGACTTACGTTTCAACAACTGATCATAGTCCATTTTTTTCTTTTCTTTTCCTCCCCCTCCTCCTCCTCCTTCTTTTTCTTCTTCACTTTTCAGTTTTGTTCAGTGCCTGGAAGATACAGAAATAATTACATTGTTTAGAGAATGTTGGAGTGAGATAGAACCTGAAACCCATCTGAAACACAAAAGCCAAGCTGACCCTCCCTTTTCTGAGGTTGAGGGTAGAGATGGACGTTATCCTCAACCTCAGAAATCGAATTGGTCCTCAGCTTTCTAGATAAGACTCTTAGCAGGCCACGTAATCAGGTCCACCTCAGCCCTTTGCTCATGCTGGCCCCTCTACCTGGGAGGTCCTTGTCCACCTCCAGAAATTCTCCTCATCCTTCAAGCCCCAGCTCCACCAAAGCCTCCTCTCTGAAGCCTCCCAGGATTCCCTGGGTGGACACACCACTTCCCCTGTGTCCCTGGGAGCACATTTTTGTCACTTTACTCACAGAATTAGAGAGTGTCCTCTGGGTCCCTCTTCCTTCACCTTCACCTTTTTCTATTTTAAAACTTTAGACAACTGAGGCCCAGAGAACATCCATGGCTCACCTGAGGATATACTATAAGTTGCTGCTCATACTTAGATTTGAGCCTTAATTCCCTGATTCCCAGTTTAGTATTCTTTCCAAGAACCTGTTCTTTCTTTATTGGTTCGCATAAATAAAAAACAAACTAACAGGGGAAAAAAAAAACACCCTGCTCTAGTGGGAGGTAAATATAATGCCTGAAGATCTCTAGTGATTTCTGCCTGAGCATCAGGTTACTGGACAAAGATGATGCTCCTCACCATTGTGGACCAAATAGCAGAACAGGCTTAGCAGTGCCACTGTCATTGGGTCCAGGAGGTACTTTGGCTAAAGTTCACACCTGTTCCTTTGCTCCCGTGCCTCCTGCTTCCAGGCCCACTATGACTTGGCCATCAGTGTTGCTTTGAAATGGCTGGATCATTCGGAAGACTTAACTTGGCTGGAGTGGGAGAAAGGGTAAGTTGAAATACTTTTTTTTTTTAATGCGTGACTATGAGTAATGAAAAAGGAAGTTCCATCTCGTGTCTTCCGCCTTCCGCACTCTGATTTGGAAACGCTGCAGGGGAGTAATCCCCTCTCCAACAAGAAACCCGAAGAAATCCCACAGTTCTCACCTGGGAGAAGTCACACGGTGCTTCCATTGTTTACCCCTCTGTTAACTGGTGTCTTTCAGATGAAAGTCTTTCTTGCAGACAATGTTCTCCCTTAGGAATAGGACTGTGCTGTCTTATGAACGGGCCATGGTTTTTCAGACGGTCAGTTCTGTGGGTAAAGGCTGCAAGTGCTTCATAAGGACTATCAAACACAACTTCTTAAGCACTTAACCAGATATGGCCCTGAGTTGAGCCGTTTGAATCATAGAATAATTCCCTTTCCAGGATTATTGAGTGTGCCAGGCAGACGCACTCAATTGGTAAGAACATGAAAATAATAAGACCAGAACTGCGTAGTTTATTTTAGAAGCCAGTTTTTTTTTTTTCTTTCTGTTTTATGGCCTTAGAATGCACACCTAGTCCTGGATGGCTGTATCAGTTAGAGTGTAGTTATAATAAGCAGAAAATCCAGTTCGAGCAGATTTAAGACTTAAGGAAAAAAGAAGGGGGAGGAGATTTACTGCTCCTGTGTTTGAAAATCCACGAGTAGGTCTGGCTGAGGCAGGGCTTAACTCAAAACTCAAACATGTCATCAAGATCTGCCTCTTGACCTTTTCCTCTGGGTAGACACTATTCTTAGTTTCAGCCAACTTTATTGCAAAATTCAGTGCAGAGGAGAGTGGGTTTTGTTTTTTTTTAAAATCATAGAATTATGTCGCAATAGCTCTATTTACCCCACTTGTCTGGGGGCACCGCAGGGGATAGAATAGCCTGGCCAGCTTAGTGCACAGTATGTTTTCCAGTCTCTGGAATCCAGGGTTTTGTCAGCTTCCCTCGAAGCACATAGGCTTACAGTGAAACCAGGCAGTTTGCCCCAAGCAAATGGCCACAAGAAGGGAAAGGATCTGGTTGGCAGATCCATGATTGTCCATCACGGTGACCAGTAGCCAATGTGTGACAGCTGGGAAAACGTGGATAGATGAGGGCAAATTGACCACCACTGTTGGAAATTTTGAAATTCCAAGTGTGTTCTTTACCAATGGTGGATTAATTGTATCGATTTTGTAAACAAGTGCATAGCATGTGGCCACTGGAGATTACTGATGGATTATTATCGCAGCCTTAGGTGTCAAAACAGTATGAATAAACCCTCCACTCTTAATTACTCATGTTCCCTCTTAGGAAAAGACCATTTCGTGGCAGACCCATATATCCAAACCATAGAGAAAGAGAGGCAATGATTTTATCATCTTATGCTGGAATCCTAATGGTAAGGAAGAGAACATCATTTGCGTATATGGAAATGGTATACTTTCTATGCATATTTTGGTATTAATGCACATTTATTTTCCTTTTTAACCAAGGCTTGCAAATGTTTAATATTTATTAATATTAAATGTTTCATTTTTAAGATATAATAAAGACATTGACTTCTATATTGTAGTGTGAAAACATTTATTTAAAAAAAAAACCTAGAATGAAATGCATAAATAATTGGATTCTGGAAATTCTGGTTTATCCATTTACCCAGAAGTTATGTGTTTGGTGCCCGTGCCTGGCAGACACAGTGCGGACATACTGGATCTGTAACAGTTTCGTTTGGTACTAAAAGAAAAGTCGTGATGTGCTGATACATTTGGTTGTTGTTGTCGTTGTCGTTAACAGAACAGCATCCCAGTTGAGGAAGTCTTCAAAATTTATGGGGCGGATTCTTCTTTCAATTCTGCTTCTATCAAGGTAGGGGAGACCTGAGACTATTCATAGAAAGGATTTTTAGAAAGAATCTCTTTACTTCATACATGTATAATGTTGTATGGTTAGGCATGAAATAACTGTTTTGTATCAAAATGTACAAAGCCAGAAGTAGCCATAGCTTACTCAGGTAATAAATGTTTGTAAAATGCTTCCCTTATGTGGAGGACTGTATTCATAGTAACAAATGTGTTTGGTTAATGAAAGGCTGAGTAGAAGCAGAAAATAAAGCACCAGGCTTAGAGTCTAGATGCTGCCTACGTTCCTGATGAACAGAATTTCTTACACTTTTTGTAATGTAGACCTGGTAAGTCCAAGTGCCCTTAACTTGTGTGTTAAGTGCCATAACATTTAGAACTAAGACAAGATCTACAAGGGTCATTCTCCTGACAATTAGTTTATTGCTGCGGCATTTCTTCCTCCCATCAGACCCCTTTGAAACCCTGCAGAGCAAGTCGGAGCAGTCTGGGAGTTCAGATACTTGGGGCTGAGTCCCCACTCGGCTACTGTGGAGTCCAGGCCCTTTCCCTCTTTGGGCCTCCTTATAGTGATCATGGAGCATTCTAGATGAACTTCACAACCAGTTCCATTTTTGCTATTCATAAATGGATGAACATTTAGTAAACATAAATACAAGCTTCTATTTGGAGGTGAACTACTGATCCCTTTGCCTTCAGATGCCTCTGGGAGAGGGAAGGGGAAGGGAGGATGAGGCGGGCAGGGGTGTGCAGCAGGCGGGAGGCGGGGAAGGCAGCAGGGAGAACCCGCCCCTCGCACCCAGGCCTTCTGTTGCTTTCAGTGCCCCCACTGGATTTGGAAGGGGAGCCGGGGCCGGGGCAGGGCTATGGCTACAGGAACACCTGCCTCCCTTGTTGTTTTCCCTGCAGACCATACTGCAAATAGCAGGTTTGTGTAAATTCAAGAGCCCAACAGGTCCAGCTTAGGAGTCCAGTATCTACTACGTTCTGTAACTTTGAAACCAACTGTCCTGCCCTCTGAATCCATATGTAACCTGGCTGTCCTCCTGAGACTCCAGTTCCCTTGATCACTCTGGTTTCAATTCTGCTCATTCATTCATTCAATGTAGTTGTAGGTGCAGGGAATTCAATGGTGACCACGTCAGGTATGGGGGCTAAAAAATACCAATACTTTTCCTCCCACCTTCTAGATTCTTCTGGCTGAGTTCATCACCAAAGTCACAGAGACAGATTAACAGGAGAAAGTCAAAGCTTAATACATGTGCACAGGGAATTCACATAGGCATGGTCATTCCATGAAAATCCCAAAGACACGCAGCACTGGGTATACGTGACATTTCTGGGCAAAGGAGAAAGGGGGGATTAGATTTCAGAAGTGAGAATGAGTGATGCACAGGTAGTGAGGGAGAGCAGAGCACACGTGGCAGGGAAACCCTGGCTCGGCAACTCAGAAACAAGGGGACCCAGGGGGCCTTTAGCTGACAGGCATCTGCTTGAAGCCCTCGTGCTGACCACGCTTAATTCGAATGAGGCTGAGGCTACATCCTACGTTCTTCTTCCTGAAGCAGGTTTCTCTGTCTGAAATCTCTTGGGCAGGAAAGGGGGAAGGGTCTAGTGTTCTTTCTGAGTCTTTTGTTTCTTAACAAACAATCAATATTGCACAAGAAGCCCTGGGAAACCCTGATGCTTAAAGGCAAGCCAGCCCATCTCTTCCTACCGTCCCTTATTCATTCAAGAGCCTTTAGTCAGCACCTGCTCCATTGAGTTACACACCATCTCCGTCCTCGCAGTTGGTGGCCAACAGCAAAAGGCCCGGATGTGCACGTAGACTAAACAATGACCAGCTCCGAAGGGGAATAGATGATATCCTCCTAGGGGGTGTTTCCCTCCAAGGGCTGCATTTGTTCACGGACACAGGTGACGTGTGTCAGCTCACTTTCTGATTTGTATGCCACAGAGAGTTTGTATAATGGGTAAGCACAAGGATTCCAAAGCTGGACTGCCAGGGTTTAAACTCTAGTTCCACCAGCTGCAAGCAGAAAAATCGTGGGCAAGTCGTCTCAGCCCTGATTTCATTTGTAAAAAGAGAAACAAGAAGATGAGGTTGTTGTGGGAAATGAAGTGAATTTGCACCAGAAAAGCCCTTAGTGCTCAACACCCGGTAACCTCAAAATACTAGCTGTGGTTAGTTCAGGTTCTGGTATTCGAGGGTTAGGTATCTGGTTTCCTGTAAGTTCCACTAAACCAGGGTTTCTCAGTGTTTTAAACCAGATCATTCTTCTCTGTGCATGTAGAGGGTGGAGTCAGAAGCTGGCCCGTGCCTTGTGGGATGTTTAGCAGCATCTCTGGGTAATGCTGTGCCCATCAGATACCAGCATCCCCCCTCCCCCACCCGTGACAACCAAAAATGTCTCTTGACTTTGCTAAATGTTCCCTCAGGGGCAGAGTCACAGCTGGTTGAGAACCCCTGTTCTAAAAATTCAAAAATCAAATAGCTCGTCAAGCACCCATGTGTATTATGAACATAACATAAACTTTGCCTATTTTAAGCAATGAAATATCTCTAAAGCTGTGATATGATTTATGCTACAGATGTAAGATTCTGAGGATCATCTGCCCCCTGGGGGCCTCCCAGCCACCCCCACCCACCTTCAGGCCCTTCTCTTGAAAGCATATCAGCTCCATGAGGGACTTCCCGGATGTCTTAAATTAGGAGTGAGCAGAACCTCTCAATCGAAATATAGCATTTCAAATATTGCAAATCATAGGAACTTTTAAAAACAGTCCTTGGGGCTGAATGATTTCAAAAAATTTAACTGGGAGATGGGTTGCTAAAAAAAAAGTTGTTGCCAAGAGTTCTCTAATTGCTTCATATATTGGAATGACCTTTGATTCCTTCTGGTAAAATGTCTCCTAAGCAACACCTAAACTTCTTTCAAGCACGAGCTGAAAGCCCTTTGAATACTAATCAGATTATGTAGAATTTCCAGCCATTGGAACTGGCCACACGGTGCAACTTGAGCCTGTGTGTGGGTTTGATGGCTCTCTTCAGGAAGATTTGCTGCCACCTGGTGACAGAAAGACATCACGGGCTCGGCATGGTTCACCCACTTTATTAGCTTCAGGTTTTACTTCCTGATAGGGAGCTGTTTTTGCCGATGGGGAGGCATTTTCTGCTGAGGACTTTGGACCTGCAGAAAAGTCAGCTAAGGGCCTTACATCAGTGAGGGTTATACAGATAGTTTCAGGTGAATATAAACTGTCCGACTCAGTTTTAAACTGGAGGGAAAAGAGCATAGGTCTCCTTCCAACAAAGCAAGCAAGCAATACAGATATTCTTCAGCCCCATTTGCTGGAGAAAGGGCCAAAAAGGAAAAGGAGGCCTTTCACATCCTCATCTTCTTTTCCTCCTCCTCCCGCTTCTGGTTGGAAGAAATTTTTGCTGAATGTGCTTTGGACATAATTTTGCACTCAGGAAGTACTTGAATTGAGAAATAACAATCATAGTTCTACTTTTACATGAACACAATGAAGATATTAGTAAATACCATTAAAGTACAAAAGAGGATATGATTGACTCTAGGTTTAGGATTTAAATTTCATCTACTTTAAAAATAATTTTTTATTGTTTTATTACAGTTGTCCCAATGTTCCCCTGTTGCTCTCCCTGTCCCCTCACCCCCAGCTACATTGTTTCCATGACCCATCACATTGTCAGTACTCATAGAGTATTTGAGCTGGAAGTGACCTTTCAAATCATTGGGTTTTATCTTCCCCAGTAAATAGGGCAACTTGAGTGTGGAGAACGTCAGTCTTGTATCCTCTAAGGGCAGAAGTGCATCAGGAATGAGCTGTGCCTTGACTTATCAAGGGGAATCACTTCATAAGTTACATAAGTGTCCAACCACTGGGAGAAAAGAACGACACATAAGCCAATTTGTTCTCTCTTTTTTTTTGTACCTGGCATACATTATCCTGAAGAGCTATTATTGTAGCCATAATCACCCCATATTTATATAAAACCTCCTTGCAATTACTTTCTCTGTTTCATGGTCATCTTTCTGAATAGATTATGTGCTTCCTGAGGTTAGAGGTCATAGTTTCTGCTTAGATTTAATTACTTACAATGCTGGATACGAAGTAAACTCTCAAAAAATATTTTTGCCATTAAAATAAAAGACCGAGGTCAAAAACAGAAGTACCTCTGCTATGGTGGCTCTAAACTGCTTTGCCAATAAAGAGAACACATCCTCATTTATTGCTTAAGACATGTTTTCTGTGTTATATTGTACAACCAAAAACCCATATTGATAGTGAAAAACAGAAGCTGGCTTCTCAGGTGAAAGGGGCCTGGAGGTGGGCAGCCCGGGGCCGGTACCACAGTCCCACAAAATTGTCAGGGCGCAGGCGTCTTCCAGGCCTCTGCTCAGTTGTTCCTGTTTAAAATTACAAAATAATATATAAATGTAGTCCCTTTCTTTAAAAAAAAAGACCTCCCCCACAAAAAATACCCCACCCATGTACAAACCACACGGTGATCTTAGAGCTCAAGTTCCTGTGGAAATCTCAAACTCCTCTGAAGGGATAAAGGATGCCAGGCACGTGGGAACTGGATCATTCTGAGTGTGGTCTTTAACAGTTGTGAATGGTAAAGATAAGCAGAAAATTTTCTACTGATCTGAAAATTGAAAAATAAGTATTTGTTTTGTGGTCCTTGGTTTTCTTTTTTGGTGTTTGCCTCGGTTATACATCATGTAAGGGTGTCCTATTGATGAAATGGCATATTTGTTGAAATGAGTGCATAAAAAGAATTGTGTAATCAACTTTTGCTCCTTAGAAATAAGAATTCTGTACATATAAAATGGGAATCTCTGCCAGTGAAAAAGCAGAAAATCAATGAGCTTGCAGTGGGATGTTAATTATTTCAGGCCGCCTGGCTCTGATCAGTTATTTGTCAGCAGTTAGTCGACCTTTTTCTAGTAGATGAGACAGGATCCCATAAAGGAATTGGTGGCCAAGTTGTTGCGATTGGTAATTCTGTATGAGAGAGAACTGAGTCAAGGAGAGAAATGATGATGGGGATGATGATGATGATGATAAATATAAATAATAATTATTATAAACTTTAAAGTTACTATGTTGTACTATGTACCAAACACTATTCTAAATACTTTACACTGTCTACAGCTATACCACCCTGAACATGCCTGATCTCGTCTAAATACTTTACATATGCTAGCTCTTTAATCCCTACCACAATTTTATAAGGTAGGTAACAGTAGTATTATTATCACATGAAAAAACAGACAGAGTAGTTAAATGACATGCCCAAGGTCACACATCTTGTAGATGGTGCAGCCTCCATTCTGATACAGCCAGTTTGACACAACAGTCCATGCTGTCAACTGCTTTTGCCTTGACTAGCATCATAGTTCAACTAGTTAATAACATTTGCATGTCTCCTATGTGCTAGGCACTCTCTAAAGCACTAGAGATTAAAGGTAAAACTAGTTTAATCAGCTTCCCTCCTTCCACATTCCAATCCATTCTCCACATAGCAGCCAGAATGATCTTTTTAAAAACCTGAATAGGACCTTGTAACACTACCACTCTAAAATATTTCAGTGGCTTCCATTGCACCCTGGAGTCAATTTTGGGGAACAGTTTCATACCATGACCAACAAGGACCCGTGTGATCTGGGTCCTGCCTCCCTCTCAGCCTCATCTACAAGTTTCTTTTTCTCACTACACTCTAGCCACACACTGGCTTCCTTTCTGTGCCCAAAAAGCAAAAGTTTATTTCAGGAAGACCTTCTCATTCCCTCTGCCTGGAACACTTCTCTCCAGCTCTCCCATGGCTGACTGCTGCTCACCCTGTGAGTCTCAGCTGAGGCTCCGCTTCTTCCTTCTAGAGGCTTTCTCTGTCCATTCTGTCTGAAGAGATGACTATCCAGTTACTTGCTAGCCCTTCATTTTGTTCAGTTTACTTATTAAACGTATCATGATGTACATCCTCCCGGATGGCTAATAGTTTATTGTTTGTCTCTCCCCACTCAGCTCTGACAAGGCAGGAACCTTGTCTGTCTTACTAACAACAACTCCTAAACAGAGCCTGGCCCCTAGTAGGTGCTCACAGAACACATGTTGACTGAATGAAAGAAAGAATGAATGAATGGATGAACAGTTCTAGCCTTGAAGAAGTTTCCAGTGTAGTGCAACAGGCAGCAGATTGTAACTATAACACATCGGGTTTGTTCTCTGTCACAATATGCTCTGAATCCACAGATAAGTGAGTTGATAAGTCTGCCTTGGGGTGGGGTGGGGGGCAGGAGGCCAGGATGGGAGAGTGAAAGTGTGGAGACTCGAGCAACTTTCTCAGAAAAGGTGATATTTGAGCTACATTTCAAAAGAAAAGTAGGAGCCTTTAAGAAAAGTAAGAGCTTCTAAGCAGAAAAGAAGAATGTAGCTATTCTAGGTAAAGGGAACTATTTGAAGAGTGCCAGCATGTGAAAAGGAACCAAGCAGGGGGAACAGAAGACAGTGTGTGAACGTGCGTGACAATAGACAGGAGCCTCACCAGGGGACTGCCAGTAAAGTCTAAGGACCACGGGTTGGGTAAACAGGCCAAGCGCCCCATGCAGCAGGTGTTAGCAACACAAAGTGTGTGCAGCTTTTCAGAGTAGGACTGTTTTCCTTGCAGGTTCCCCGAGCTCCACCTTTCCGCCTCTCCTTGCACCCTTTTGCCATGTTAACAGCGCCCCAAGCAGCAGAATATGCCCGCAAACAGAGTAAGCCTGTTTACTTGCATCTGCTGAGGGACATTTCAAACAGGAGGGGAGCTCACAAAGTAAGGCCAAAGTTGTTACGGTAATAACATCTTTCTGGTTGAAACAAATAGAACCAGCAGCATTTATGATTTATTTGATCTTCCTCTATTATCGAAATCAGGGAAGTTTTATTTCTTAGACCTTTTGGTAATGGGAGCAAAGCACTCACAAAGGGGAAAATCTAAAACTGTGGGTGGACTCATTTTTTCTAAAAAGTTTTTCTGTACAGTTATGGTTCCTACATGTGTCTCTAGGTTTCAAGTTAAGAAGGGGAGCCATGAATAAAAATGCCACCAGCAGCTCTACAAGGGAAGCAAATGCCACGGAGCAGAAATGATCAATACATTTATTTCTGGACACACAGCCAAAGAACGAAGTAGGTCTAAAAACACAAATTGGATCAAAATGATACCAGATGTTTGGGGAGTACTTTACTTTTAATGTTTTAAAAGTTTAGCCTCTAGAATTAGATGCTGTGGGTTTGTACCTAAAGCCTACTGTGTGACTTTAGGCAAATGACTTAACCTTTCTGTTTCTTAGTTTTCTCTTCTGCAAAATGGGAAGAATAATGGTACTTCACTCTTAAGGTTGTTGGGATGATTACCTGAGGTTATGCATGTTAAGAGGTTAAAATAGTGCTTGCACAGAGTAAACCCTAAAATACTAACCATTATTATCTTTTAGCATTTGAGAGATGCTATTCACAAGTTAATCAGCTCTTATTCTGTGGTTTCAAATAAGTGTTTAATGCTTATAGTAAAAATTTCAAACAATACAAGAACTGTAAGTGAAAAGTAAAAGAACCCCTCTTCCCCCTACCCTTTCCTACTTCTTAGAAATAACCACTTATCTTGTGATAGTCCAATGTTTCGTGTGCTATTCAAATATTGCTATATGTGTACAAATATGTCATGTGATATTTTTGTGATATTGAAATATTACTGTGTGTGTATGTCTTACTACTGCTTTGTTAGAAATAACCAAGAAATAAATTAAAGAAACAAATATTTTTATTAAAGAAATAATTATTTTATAAATGCATGTAAAATATACTTTCACAGTTTATTGTTTGAAGTTTTCATTTTATTGAGCTTCTTAGTCTTTTCCTAGTTTATAGCTTATGGATATTATATCATGTTATATTATTAGCAGATAAACAACTTTTTAACCTCAGGATGAAACAATTACTCATTCAGAAGTTTCTGTCCTGGCTGGTATAGGTCAGTAGATTGAGCACAGGCCTGCAAACTGAAGGGCTTCGGTTCAATTCCCAGTCAGAACACATGCCTGGGTTGCAGGCCAGGTCCCCAGCAGGGGGCGTATGAGAGGCAACCATACATTAATGTTTCTCTCCCTCTCTCCTTTCCTTCCCCTCTCTCCTTCCCTCCCTTTCTCCTTTAAAAATAAATAAATAAAGTATTTTTTTTAAAAAGATACAGAATTTTCTATATATTTCCAGCCACTGAATTTCTTCATAAAGTAAGGAATAAAGGAGAAATTGTTATTATTTTTTAAATATCAAGGGACAAAGATCTTTTATTCTTTTATTTTTTTAATATTTTTATTCATTTATTTTTAGAGAGGGAAGGGAGGGAGAAAGAGAGAGAGAAACATCAATGTGCGGTTGCTGGGGGCCATGGCCTGCAACTCAGGCATGTGCCCTGACTGGGAATTGAACCTGTGATGCTTTGGTTTGCAGCCCACGCTCAATCCACTGAGCTATGCCAGCCAGGGCAGGAGAAATTATTTTTAATAATTGAGGTATTCTGGCAAACAGTTTTAAATATTTATTTTATGCTGTATGGGTATTAGTACCTTGTTTATTCATCAAAATGGGTATAAACAATACCACATCCTAGGAAAGTGTCAATATTGGGCAGAGGACTAGGAAATGAATTTGGAATGGACAGGATTGTACCAAAGAGCTAGACAACAGCACACTATAGTGATTAAGAGTGTGACCTCTGGAGTCAGAGAGCTAGATTTAAAAACTGGTTCCTCCACTTGGGTGAATTATTAAGAGAATCTCTCTTGTGCTTCATCTATAAAAAGAGGGTGATAGCAGTACCTACCTCATAGCATCGTTACAAGGACTAAGTGAGTCAGTACACGTATATGTGGAAGGGCATAGAAAAGGGCCTGGACTACAGCAAGCAATAACACAAGGGCTCCCACTGCCACTGCTGCTGAGGAGCCCACAATACCGTGGAAGAGAGGAGGACACAGCAAGAGGGAAGTTTGAAGGATCTGCTCTCCATTTCCACACAGAAGGATGTTGGGTATCAGTATTCCACCCTAACAAGTAAAGAGCTGAACAGACTGAATATTCAACAACTCTTCTCGGAAATGTAAAGAAGGGGAGGGCACGGGGTAACCTGCTACCCCCAAGAATAAGATGGGCAGATGGATGGGTAGAGGGGTAGAGAGATGCACTGATGCATATGAAAGTGAACACGGCAAACAGCATCAACAGGTTATGGGCATACGTACTCCATTGTACAATTCTCTCAACTTTTCTGAATGAAAAGTTTCATAATGAAGAAAAAAAAGACAGAAGTTGTCAGAGTGGACGAAAAAACAACACCCAATTCTGTGTTGTCTAAAAGAAACCCACTTGAAATAAAACAACACATATAGGTGAAAAGTAAGTGGATAGAGGAAAAATATGACATATTAACACTAATCAAAAGAGAGCAAAAGCAGCTATATTAATTTCAGACAGAGCTGACTTCAAAGCAAGGACAGCTATCAGGGATAAAGAAGGGAACTGCATGATGATAGAGGTTTGTTCTCCAAGGAGACAACAATCCTCAACATGCATGCACTGAACAACAGAGCATCAAACTATGTGAGGTAAAATCTCATAGAGCTAATGAGGAGAAACAGATGATTTCACTATCCTATCAGCACTCCTCTATCAGCAATGGAAGGAGAGCAACTTAAGTTTACATTCAAAGCAATATAGAAGAAATTCAAAGTCATATTCTGCAAGAATAAGACACAACCTCTGACAGGCAAAGAAATGATCTGCTTTGGGTATAGTCAAATGAAGTATAACTTTTATTATTTTCTTTTCTTTGAGAATAATTTTGAGCTTAGAGAAAAGTTGCAAGAATACTTCAAAGAACCATATACATTTTACTCAGATTCACTGATTGTTAAGTTTTGCTCCATTAGTTATATCACTTCTTCTCTCTGCCTCTATCTCTCCTTCTGCCCTTATCTCTTTCTGTCTGTGTATAGATAGATACTCAATTTTTCTCATCCATTTGAAGTTACATCACCATATTAAGTTACCCCCAAATACTTCAGTGTGTACTTCCAAAAAACAAAGTCATTCCCTCACATAACCCCAGTACAGTTATCAACTTCAGAAAATCCAATGTGAATGCTTGGATCTAATCTACCATCTGTACACAAATTTTGTCAGTTGACCCAATAATGTTTTCTTCCAGCATTCTTTCCTTCTGTATAGAATCCATTGTAAGATCATATATAATATTTAATTGAAAAATATACTTCCATTTCCAAATGGCTCAGAACAGTTCCATGGAAATCTTTTTGTACCTACATTCATTTAAACCCATCTTTGTCAATAACTTAGTATGTGATATTTGACTTTAACTCCTGTAGATTGAAAGCTAATGTCTGTGTCCAGGTTGAGTCGACATGCTTGATACCAAAATCATCTTTTTATTCTGCAGGTCAGTTAGGAGCTGAACATGGTACTTCATAATAAAGTCTCTGGGAGAGGAAAAGAAACATCATCTTAAAACTGCAACACCTGCCAGCATATTTTTCTTCCCAGTTAGCTGTGACACAAACTGCACTGAAGTGTTATTTTTGGATGTTGAGATTTCTTCTCTTAGCATCATATTTCAGGGCTACATCTGGGCTGTAAAAATGCACGTATCTTATGCTACTCCATTGTGAGTGGAAGGCTGTTGGTTGGAGAATTCCAAAAGTATATAGTATTTCTATGTCGGAGCAGGCTGGCTTTGAAGCATATTTTACAAATGTGTGGCACTGAATACTGCAGAGTGGTGGAGCAGGAGGCAGTTTCCCAAAGTTTCAACCCAAAATAAGATCAATCTATCACTGATTGCCTTCACAATGTTGCCATATGGAAACATTTAAAATCATTTCAATAAAGCATTATAAGAAAAATGGGTGTAGATTTTCTCTTAATAGGATATCGTGACTAGGAGGAAAATATTCTAATCTTTCAGTACCTTTTCCCAGTGCTGATTAGGCAGATGGCTTAGCTTGTACATATGTGCAATAACAATTTATGAATGTGAATACAGACTACACTTTTCTTAAGGTTTTGATGTGCTATCTTTGCAGAACAGTTTTGGCCTTTTTTTTTTAAGTGCACAACAACACGTGGTTTTTTGGCTTCTGTGGAAGATGGTGCTGTGTTCCGCTGTGAGTTTGTATTTGGAAGAACCAGCGCAGCCTTTTTCATGCTGGAACTGTGACTGAGGTGTCCCAGCAGGCCTGCAGCGTTCGGCAGGGACAGAGAAGCACCTCCGTGACGTGTGCCCTCTGGGTGTGCTGCCAGGTGCCTACCTTCCCAGAACTTTGTCAAATTTTCTTTTTGTCCAGTTCTGCCACTGGTGAGGGTACATTTTTATTTTTTAGCTGTTGTCGTCTCTCCCTTTAACCTCCACATGTTTGCTTTACACGCTGCCTGAGGACTTCCACAAGCGGCATTGCAGACATATTGCTACAGTTGTATTTGGCTGCCCTCTTAGAGCCAGTTCACGGCCATGAATCCCAGAGGTATTGGGTGTCGATTTCCACCTGCACGTGGGATGAGAAAAGAGGAGCTGAGGGAAGAGTCATCCTCCCATCCTGCGTATCTGAGGGTGCTTCTACATCAATAGGGTGGCAGCAATAGAGAATCACCTCAGCTCTAGGAAACAGTGACGCTTCAGGGAGGGAAAACTCAGGCAACTCATGATGCTGATTTCAGGACACCTCTTTATTTCAGCCCCGGGGGAGATGTTTAATCCCTAGACAAAATGTGCCTATTTTCAAATGTTTCTGCTTTTTACCATCAACTCAAAGTTACATATTTAAAAAATTGATTTTCCTTTTTTCAACTCATGACAGTAATATATAGTTATAACAGAAAATTAAGGCAACAGAAAACAACAAAAAGGAGGAATAAAAAGAAAACTAGAACCTATATACTCTTGTCGTTCATTCATAACCATGACTGAGTTTGCTGCAACATACACAGTTCTAATCTTTTTTCCTATGGAAACAGACACAAAATGTTTTTTTTTTCAAAATCCTATTGTACTGATGAGATCATTTAGGAGATGTAATTGTTTTTCAACTAGAGAACTTGTTGTTGCCCTTTGCACGTCAGGTCCTTCTGGAATTCATGGGATTGTCACGAGTCCCCCCTGGGGACCCACCAACCCCATCTCAGCAGTTTCCATAGGCAAACGGTACAAAATGCTGGGTGTGTGATATATTGCTAGAGAGCTGCATAGGACCAGAAGTGCGCCCTTTGTCTCCAAGGTCATAATAGCTCTGCTGACTTCAATTCCTTTCACTGGAGCTAGTGAGGATAAGTCAAAAATGCCAGACAGAATGAGGGCCCCCTGACCCATGATACCAAATGGAAAAAAAAAGAGAGAGAGAGAGAACATAGAAATCCCCTCACACACTACCCCCAAGCCCCTTTGTGTTGTTCTTGCCAACACAGCAGCCGTCCTGCTATATGTACCAACTGCCACTCTTGTCCCCATCACTCTGGACGCTGATCAGTTGTCGTCAACGACCATGGGAAAGGTGAGCCAACCCAGGTGCCATACCGTGTCTATTCAGTGTCTTCTGGTTTGAGGATGTACCTGCCAGCCGATTGCCTGCTGTCTCCTTGTTTTCCACTACAGATCACCTTCTATGAGGACCCGGGCTTCCAGGGCCGGTGCTACGAGTGCAGCAGCGACTGCCCCAACCTGCAGCCCTACTTCAGCCGCTGCAACTCCATCCGCGTGGACAGCGGCTGCTGGATGCTGTATGAGCGCCCCAGCTACCAGGGCCGCCAGTACTTCCTGCGGCGCGGCGACTACCCCGACTACCAGCAGTGGATGGGCCTCAGCGACTCCGTGTGCTCCTGCCGCCTAATCCCTTATGTGAGTCTTGCTTCAACCAACTGATGTGAAAGCATCATTGATCCGTGGCCATAAATCCCTGTTTATAAAAGTTAGTGTATTCCAAGGCAGGACGAGTCCTCACAGTAAGGACATCAATGACTGACTCTCCGGCGCACGCGAGCACACACACACACACACACACACACACACACACACACAGTGAGCAGGGTTATGAATAACCTCAATCTCTACTTTTTTTCTTTTTTAAAGATTTTATTTATTTATTTTTAGAGAGGGAAGGGAGGGAGAAAGAGAGAGAAACATCAATGTGCGGTTGCTGGGGGCCCTGGCCTGCAACCCAGGTATATAGCCTGACTGGGAATCGAACCTGCAACACTTTGGTTCACAAACCGCGCTCAATCCACTGAGCTACGCCAGCTAGGGCTTCTACTTTTTTCTTACTTAAAGATAAATCATTTTTAGGGCACAAGGAATCACAACAACATAGCCTTTAAAATTGAATTCCGTAGCCTCTGGCTGATCCTTAATTTCTAAATAAAAATCACCTTGTTCAGTAAAGAAAAAAAAATCTCTCTAAATAATTCTTTTTTAATGATAAAAACACTAATAGACTATAGGAGAACAATATAGGTATAATGCATTCTAACCGTATTGGTGATTATTTTCAATACATTCTCTATATTGTTCAACACTATGTCATCATGTTGATTCAGAAACTAGCAATTTATTTCATCTTGTATGTGGTTTTTGCTCTCCAGGAGATGTTGTCAACCAGTTTCTTCCAAGGGTCAGAGACAACTCATTAGTTAAGGGGGTTTCATGGGACACGGTCCTCACCGAGGTGTTGCTTGATGTTTTTTAATCACATGGAGTGTGTGTGTTTCTGCTTTCCGATGACACTAAATTATGTGGTGTGGTAAGCAGATTTAAGAATTGGAACCAAAATTGGAGTAGAGAAATTTTGCAGATGCAAGAAGAGAGACATAAAATAGGAATTTCTTTGAGGCAAGAAACTGACATGGTACAAGAGACTGGGCACAACGTCAGACGTGTGGCCTCCGTGTGGGGACTGCTGCACATTATGAGTGCAGACGTGACTTAGAAACAAGCCTGGTGGGACTCAGCTCAGTGCAGTCATAACAGAAAAGAGAGTTAAACTCCTCTCCGCAGACTCACTCAGTGTGGTTGCGACAGATGGTTTCTCACAGGGGAACCCCTTTCATTCCATTTCTTTCAGTGTTTCTTCCACAAGATAGTTCACTGGTCAGGTGAGTGTTATTTTATGATTCTTTCTCATTTGCTAGACAAACAATGAAACGAGAGGGGCAGGGAGGAAATAGAGGTCAGGATGGTTTGAAAACCATGCTTCATGAAGATGCGAGCTGACTGAGTCACTTTTACGGACATTAAGGATGCACACAATTTTCGTATTTCTTCTTTTGTTTCTGTCACAGCAGAGCAGCTCCCACAGGATAAGACTGTACGAGAAAGATGACTACCGAGGCCTTATGTCTGAGCTCACGGAGGACTGCTCCTGCATCCACGATCGCTTCCGGCTCCACGAGCTGTACTCCCTCCACGTGCTGGAGGGCTGCTGGGTCCTCTATGAGATGCCCGACTACCGGGGCCGGCAGTACCTGCTGAGGCCGGGGGACTACAGGCGCCACCATGACTGGGGTGCCTTGGATGCCAGAGCGGGCTCTCTGAGACGGGTCATCGATGTGTACTAGGCTGTGTTTTTCTTGTTATGCTTCACATAGAAATGCAATAAATAGATGCACTGTGTTCTTGGCACTATGTGACTCTTGCTTATCTTTAAATAATGACTGCTTTATACTAAATGGCAACTCCCCAGCACTTACCTGACTCTGAAGCTCAGGTGTTTTGAATATCTACTTACTTCCTGTTGGTTAGTTAGGCAGCCTTTGGTGTCACCAGAAAGCACGATGTGAATGGAGATTCATGTCACAGGAAAGAAAGATAAACACTGTTTCTGCCACTAGAGCTTGCCTCTGAGGGAGAGAGAAAGGAAGGACGAGCATAATGAAAATGATTAGAACCCACATACAGGAAAAATACAGAACCAGTTGTGGCTGGAACACCAAAGCCAAGAAACTGGCTAGAGAGTTTCAGATATTAGTTCAGAAAAGCTGAGCAAAGAGAAGAGTTTTAAGCAAATTCCCAAAGGAGGGGAGATAAATCCTGCTAGGTGAGGTCATCTGGTAGGGAAAGGGTTACACTGAGAGGGTAAAGGGCCTGAGCTGTTACCCTGCCTCTGCCACTTCGAAGTAGAGTGACGAAGTAGAGTGACCAGTAGAGTGACCGACTCAGGCTAGCTTTCCAGAGACTCTCCCAGGCTTATCCCTGAAGGTCCGTCTCATGGGAAATCTCTAGTCTCAGGTAAACAGGGATGACGGGTCACCTTACTCCCTAGCATATCCCTTTGAACAAGTCATTTCTTATCCTTTCTGTGCTCAAGTTAACTTACTGAAAACTACAAGTGATATTAAATTCCTGCCTCACCAAATAAGTCCCAGAATAATTACGATGAAAAGATGAAGAAAGATTATGTTGTCTTTAACTTATTGTACAAATGTAAATGTAAGAAATTAATGTACCCCCAGTGTTCCCTACTATTCAACAGTACAATATGGTTGACTTTATTTTGGACTCCAACATGCATTTTTGTCAAGATTCAATTAGCAAAGACTTAATTATGCAGAGTGAAGTATTAATGTTTGCTACCCTACATACCTGTGGGATTTCTTCCCAAATTAATATAAGCAAAAATAGTGCCCTGTTCCAGTTAACTTATTTGTAGAAATTGATAAGCTGATTTTAAAATTCCTAGAATTGCAAGGGACCCAAAATAGCCAAAACAATCTTGAGAAAGAAGAGCAAAGCAAAAGGACTCCCGCATCTGTCTATGAAATAAACCCATCTGTCTGTGTTCAACCAATTTTTGACAGGGGTGCTAAGACTCTTCGGTGGGGGATAAA